AAGAAAACAATTGGTAACATACTACGCCGTGAAGGACTGAAATCCTGCAGCGCCCGCAAGGTCCCCCTGCTCAAGAAAGCACATATACAGGCCCGTCTGAAGTTTGCCAATGAACATCTGAATGATTTAGAGGAGAACTGGGTGAAAGTGTTGTGGTCAGATGAGACCAAAATGGAGCTCTTTGGCATCAACTCAACTCGCCGTGTTTGGAGGAGGAGGAATGCTGCCTATGACCCCAAGAACACCATCCCCACCGTCAAACATGGAGGTGGAAACATTATGCTTTGGGGGTGTTTTTCTGCTAAGGGGACAGGACAACTTCACCTCGAGTTGCCAAACGTCAGGCTCGAAACCTTAATGACTTGGAGAAGATCTGCAAAGAGGAGTGGGACAAAATCCCTCCTGAAATGTGTGCAAACCTGGTGGCCAACTACAAGAAACGTCTGACCTCTGTGATTGCCAACAAGGGTTTTGCCACCAAGTACTAAGTCATGTTTTGCAGAGGGGTCAAATACTTATTTCCCTCATTAAAATGCAAATCAATTTATAACATTTTTGACATGCGTTTTTCTGGATTTTTTTTAATATTCTGTCTCTCACTGTTCAAATAAACCTACCATTAAAATTATAGACTGATCATGTCTTTGTCAGTGGGCAAAGGTCCTCTGTAGCTCAGCTGGTAGAGCACGGCGCTTGTAACGCTAAGGTAGTGGGTTCGATCCCCGGGACCACCCATACACAAAAAAATAAAATGTATGCACGCATGACTGTAAGTTGCTTTGGATAAAAGCGTCTGCTAAATGGCATATTTTAATTTAATTTTTAGTTGGTGAACCAGGCAAGGCAGTCATTTGAGAAACCAAGGCTATTTAGTCTGCCAATAAGAATGCGGTGATTGACAGAGTCGAAAGCCTTGGCCAGGTCGATGAAGACGGCTGCACAGTACTGTCTTTTATCGATCGCGGTTATAATATCGTTTAGGACCTTGAGCGTGGCTGAGGTGCACCCATGACCAGCTTGGAAACCAGATTGCATAGCGGAGAAGGTACGGTGGGATTCGAAATGGTCGGTGATCTGTTTGTTAACTTGGCTTTCAAATACTATCGAAAGGCAGGGCAGGATGGATATAGGTCTGTAACGGTGTTGATCTAGAGTGTCACCCCCTTTGAAGAGGGGGATGACTGCGACAGCTTTCCAATCTCTGGGGATCTCAGACGATACGAAAGAGAGGTTGAACAGGCTGGTAATAGGGGTTGCGACAATTTCGGCGGCTAATTTTAGAAAGAAAGGATCCAGATTGTCTAGCCCAGCTGATTTGTAGGGGTCCAGATTTTTCAGAACATCAGCTGTCTGAATTTGTGTAAAGGAGAAGCGGGGGGAGGGGGCATGGGCAAGTTGCAGCGGAGGGTGCAGAGCTGGTGGCCGGGGTAGTGGTAGCCAGGTGGAAAGCATAGCCAGCCGTAGCAAAATGCTTGTTGAAATTCTCGATTATCGTAGATTTATCGGTGGTGACAGTGTTTCCTAGCCTCAGTGCAGTGGGCAGTTGGGAGGAGGTGCTCTTATTCTCCATGGACTTTAGTGTCCCAAACTTTTTGGAGTTAGCTACAGGATGCAAATTTCTTTTTGAAAAAGCTAGCCTTTGCTTTCCTAACTGTTTGTGTAAATTGGTTCCTGACTTCCCTGAAAAGTTGCATATCGCGGGGGGCTGTTCGATGCTAATGCAGTACGCCACAGTGGCAGTGTCATGCTTTCTGGTATAGACAGGGGTTATTTTATTTATTTCTTATAGACAGGGGTTATTTTATTTATTTATTATAGACAGGGGTAATTATATCATTTTGGCCAAACCCTCCCCTAACCCGGAAGACGCTGCCAAACCCTCCCCTAACCTGGACAACGCTGGTAAACCCTCCCCTAACCCGGACAACGCTGCCAAACCCTCCCCTAACCTGGAAGACACTGCCAAACCCTCCCCTAACCCGGAAGACGCTGCCAAACCCTCCCCTAACCTGGACAACGCTGCCAAACCCTCCCCTAACCTGGACAACGCTGCCAAACCCTCCCCTAACCTGGACAACGCTGCCAAACCCTCCCCTAACCTGGAAGACACTGCCAAACCCTCCCCTAACCCGGAAGACGCTGCCAAACCCTCCCCTAACCTGGACAACGCTGCCAAACCCTCCCCTAACCTGGACAACGCTGCCAAACCCTCCCCTAACCCGGACAACGCTGCCAAACCCTCCCCTAACCTGGACAACGCTGCCAAACCCTCCCCTAACCCGGACAACGCTGCCAAACCCTCCCCTAACCCGGAAGACGCTGCCAAACCCTCCCCTAACCTGGACAACGCTGCCAAACCCTCCCCTAACCTGGACAACGCTGCCAAACCCTCCCCTAACCTGGACAACGCTGCCAAACCCTCCCCTAACCTGGAAGACGCTGCCAAACCCTCCCCTAACCTGGACAACGCTGCCAAACCCTCCCCTAACCTGGACAACGCTGCAAAACCCTCCCCTAACCTGGACAACGCTGCAAAACCCTCCCCTAACCTGGAAGACGCTGCCAAACCCTCCCCTAACCTGGACAACGCTGCCAAACCCTCCCCTAACCTGGAAGACGCTGCCAAACCCTCCCCTAACCCGGAAGACGCTGCCAAACCCTCCCCTAACCTGGAAGACGCTGCCAAACCCTCCCCTAACCCGGAAGACGCTGCCAAACCCTCCCCTAACCTGGAAGACGCTGCCAAACCCTCCCCTAACCTGGACAACGCTGCCAAACCCTCCCCTAACCCGGACAACGCTGCAAAACCCTCCCCTAACCCGGACAACGCTGCCAAACCCTCCCCTAACCCGGACAACGCTGCCAAACCCTCCCCTAACCTGGAAGACGCTGCCAAACCCTCCCCTAACCTGGAAGACGCTGCCAAACCCTCCCCTAACCCAGAAGAAGTCTGAGGCAATTGTGCACTGCCCTATCATTTCTTTCCTATTGGATCCAGCACTATGCCATTTATCTTCTGTTCTATTGGTTTTCATATCAACTTTATTTCGTTGTCCAGAAGCCAAAGGCACAATCCTAGTCATATTAGCAACCCATCCTAGTTGTTGCTATTAGATTCCCCCTCTTTCTAAGTTTCTAACAGAGATTGTCAGCTCTGTCACATGTGGAACCACTATCAGGTGCGCTGTTTAGAGCATTGTATTATTCCCAGTTTCTCAAATGCGAATTGCTTTTTTGGCAAATGTTTGAAGATTACGTTTTATTGTCTGCTTCAGTACATGAGTTGCATGTTCTGTTAAGATGTGTTACCATAATCTAGATGTGATTTCTGTCATTCTGAGCTCCGTGGGTGGACGCCCCGATCAGGTTACGCACACAATGCATATGGGTCCAGTACATTTCTCAAATGGCTGGTAAATTAATTAATCTTCCTGGTGATGTTGTCCGCATTTTCCTAATGGAAACCCTACTGCTTCCTACCACCTACTGGTTGGTTTTCCCTACTTTGTGGGCTGGTTTTTCCCTACTTTGTGAGCTGGTTTTCCCTACTTTGTGGGCTGGTTTTCCCTACTTTGTGGGCTGGTTTTCCCTACTTTGTGGGCTGGTTTTCCCTACTTTGTGGGCTGGTTTTCCCTACTTTATGGGCTGGTTTTCCCTACTTTGTGGGCTGGTTTTCCCAACTTTGTGGGCTGGTTTTCCCTACTTTGTGGGCTGGTTTTCCCTACTTTGTGGGCTGGTTTTCCCTACTTTGTGGGCTGTTTTCCCTACTTTGTGGGCTGGTTTTCCAGGCACAGATGAAGCTCTCCATTGAAAATCCATTTTAATCCTCGGCCAGGCTTAAAGTGATGTTGTTAATAATAATAATAATAATAATATAATAAGCCATTTAGCAGACGCTTTTATCCAAAGCGACTTACAGTCATGTGCGCATACATTTTTACGTATAGGTGGTCCCGGGGATCGAACCCACTACCCTGGCGTTACAAGCGCCGTGCTCTACCAATTGAGCTACAGAGGACCACAATGTTCTAGAGCTTTTGTATAATTTCAGCCAGTAGTTTTGAAAGTAGTGCTCACAAGCCAAAATGGGTCCCTGAAAATTGTGCACTACATCATCAATATGAATAATCAATAATTTATTCATACAATGTGTTAGGAATTTGTAAGCGCTTAAGACCCCGGACTGCATCTTTAATCTGTGTCTCAGAAAACGGTCCCTATATGTCTAAGGCTTTTATCTATCCAACTACAGCCAGCACAAAGAGTCTAGACTGTAATCAGCTGGTTGCCGCTGGACATAGTCGCTGCACATAGTCGCTGGTCATAGTCGCTGGACATAGTCGCTGGACATAGTCGCTCATCGTTAGTTGGTCCTGATTTAACACAAAGAGTCTACTCGATAAGTAGTTGGCTGTACTTGGATAGATGCATAGAGAGCCTTTAAACCTCTCTCATCTCCTTGTGTATTTGTGTCTATCTATTTCAGACATGGAGGAGCCGGAGCTAGTGAACGGGGGTGGGGTGGAGCAGCACACGGACGGGGAGGAACAAGTCGTCACCCGGACAAAAACCAAGAGGAAGAAGTCAGTGCTGCAGTACCAGATCCTCCATAGTTTGGTACCAGATCTGTTTGCTACCAGATCTGCTTGGTACCAGATCTGTTTGTGCTGTTTGCAAACCCATGTGGTCATTGTGACCATAGGAAAACAGCACAACCAGATCTGGTACCAGGGTAGACCCACCATGTATGCAGGGGGGGGGGGGGGGGGGGGGCTCTGTAAAGCAACTGCTGCAGTCCATACGGGGATGAATCTAACATTCAGCATCGAACTATGGTGGGGTTCCAGGACGCCTATATTGAATATGTGTTTCAGGAACCCCCCTTCAATATGACTTAATGATCTGTTGACAACACATCCGCAATGTAGGCAACCTGGAACGTCTCCATAATCTCGATCTTGACGCTTTACTAACTGCACCCGCCTTCTTTTCCACAACAGGAAGTCCAAGATTGACATGCATTACACCAATGACCTGGGTGTGGAGGATGGTGACATTGTCAGTGGTCTGCACCATGCTATCCCCCAGCATTCCCTGTTCTCTACTCCTCTGGGCCACAGCCAGCCTGTCGGAAAAGTGTTTGTGGAGAGAAACAGTGAGTGTCCTCTCTCTCTCTTATCTTAACATAAGATTGGAGCGTACAACCAAATCTTGCTGCATCGGCAAAACAAACCCAAACAATGGTACAATGGCGCTGAAAACTCTCAAAAAAGTATTTAACTTCTTAAAGTAATCACTAGTCCTGGAATAATAAACTATTTCAATGGAGAGCTAACACCAATACTGACCTCATAACACCAATACTGACCTCAGAACACCAATACTAGCTTCGTAGTCCAGGACTAGACTGAATCTGTGTCCGGGAAATTGGCCCTCCCCTTTTGAATTCAGACCCTGGTCAGGCGCTAACCAGTTTGTTGTCTGATTTCCTTCAGGGCGTTTCCAGCCAACTGACCCGCCCAAACACAGTGCACATCTGGAGGACTACATGGAGGCCACGCCCCTCTGGACAACCAGGGATGTAGCTATGAGAGTACACAGTGGATTCAGGTGAGTGACATGCCCCCTTTGCAGAGGCTTGGATGTGATTACTGCCCAGTGGCGCAGTGGTCTAAGGCTCTGCATCGCAGTGCTAGCTGTGCCATTAGAGATCCTGGTTCGAATCCAGGCTCTGTCGTAGCCGGCCGCGACCGGGAGACCCCATGGGGCGGCGCACAATTGGCCCAGTGTCGTCCGGGTTAGGGGAGGGAATGGCCGGCAGGGATGTTGCTCAGTTGGTAGAGCATGGCGTTTGCAACGCCAGGGTTGTGGGTTCGATTCCCACGGGGGGCCAGTATGAAAAAAAAAAAATAATAATAATAATGTATGCATTCACTTAACTGTAAGTCGCTCTGGATAAGAGCGTCTGCTAAATGACTAAAATGTAAAATTACTGACACTTTGTGTCTGTTTCTCTCCAGAGTGATAGGTCTGTTCTCCCATGGCTTCCTGGCTGGCTATGCAGTGTGGAACACCGTGGTGGTGTACGTGTTAGCTGGGGAGCAGTTCACCACCCTCCCTAACCTGCTGCAGCAGTACCACTCCTTGGCCTACCCTGCCCAGTCTCTCCTCTACCTACTGCTGGCTATCAGCACGGTGTCCGCCTTCGACAGGTAAGGATGGCATGGATTATAGAGTTTAGAGACAGACTTTCCGTTTCTGTGAGCACTTCGATATAGAAACGGTGTTGTTCTCGTGTCGGAGGTTGGTCTAGTGGTCGACACAACCGCCTCTGGACTACACATGCCCTCCAACAGCGGGCGGTTTGAATCACAGTAGGACCGGTTTCTTCTTGTCGTCTACCTATCCGTCTGTCTCATGGCCATGCTCTGTGTTGCAGGGTGAACCTGGCTAAGGTATCCGTCTGTCTCATGGCCATGCTCTGTGTTGCAGGGTGAACCTGGCTAAGGTATCCGTCTGTCTCATGGCCATGCTCTGTGTTGCAGGGTGAACCTGGCTAAGGTATCCGTCTGTCTCATGGCCATGCTCTGTGTTGCAGGGTGAACCTGGCTAAGGTATCAGTCTGTCTCATGGCCATGCTCTGTGTTGCAGGGTGAACCTGGCTAAGGTATCCGTCTGTCTCATGGCCATGCTCTGTGTTGCAGGGTGAACCTGGCTAAGGCCTCCATGGCTCTGAGAGGGTTCCTCACCCTGGACCCGGCTGCTCTGGCCTCCTTCTGTAAGTTCATCTTCTCACTAGTTTATAACAACATCCTATGATCTGTTGCCCCTTCTCTTAGTAACCCACGTACAAGGACAAAGACAAAACATTCTGTGAGATATGATGTACATAACAAAAAGTCTCCTTCCTTCCCTTGTGGTTTTCCAGTGTACTTTACAGCGCTCATCCTGTCTCTCAGTCAGCAAATGACCAGCGATCGCATCAACCTATACCCCACTGCCAACGAGACCCTGTGGTGAGCACCGCACAGCTCCCTGGTCTAGGTCTAAAATGGCAACCTATTCCCTATATAGTACTGCGATCACTAGGGTCTATCAGTCATTTGTTGCGTTCCAAATGGCACCCTGTTCCCTACGTAGGGCACTAGTTTTGACCAGAGCCCAAAGGGAATAGGGATGCCAATTGGGATGCAGGTATTATTGTCTCTCAGACTGTTACTCTGACACATGGCTGTAGACTGCTATTGGGTTACTAACACTGAAGCTTCAGAAAGCTATTCAGGACACCTACTGTGTTTTTCCTGATGACTCCCTTTCCCTTTGGAAATATGACAAAACATCAACAACAAGTGTAAAAAACACTGTTTATATAACAAAGAGCACAAGTTACAACAGAGACATTATTTAAAGCAGAACAGCTTTGTCCAGTTTTTAATGTCATCCTAAATGCAAACATAACACAAACCTTTCAAACCCCACTCCCCTTACACCCCCCTTCTAACTCCTAATTTAACAGGGTCCAAGGAAAGGGAACCCCGGGGCCTCCCTCGGGCCCTTCCCCCCAACCTCGGTTTTCCTCCCCCTTTCCCCCCCCCCCTTTTTAAATTTTATTTCTGCCCCCCAAAACTTTTTTAAAAAAACCCCTTCTTCCCCTCCCCCCCGGTTTGGGGTTACACCCCCCGGGCCCCTTTTTCCCCCTTTTCGGCGGGCCTTTTTGGGGGCGTTAAAAAGGGAAAACCCTCAAATTTAGGTCCCGGGAAATTTCCCATCCCCCCCTCCCGGCTTGCCCTCTCTTTTTTTCCGCCAAAACGAGGGCCCCCCCAAGGGGGCCCCGGGGGGCAACAGAAAAAGGAAAAAGGGGGACCGGCCCCTTTTCCCAGGCTCTTTCCCCCACGAGAGGAGAAAAATTTTCCCTCTCCTATCAATCTCTCTCCGCTCCCCATGTGCGTCTCCTCTCCCTCTCGGTCTCTCCCTTCTCTCTCTCCCCTTCTCTCTCCCCCTCCCCCTCTCCCCCCTCCAGGCCCCCTGGCTCAGAGCAACCAAATCCTCCAGCCCTGGATAGTGGTAAACCTGGTGATAGCCCTGGTTAGTGGGTCTGGCCTGGGCCTTTGTCTCAACACGACCAGACATGGACTACACCGAGGGTGAGAGCTCTAAGGACTCAACTTAGTTATCATGTGAACTATCACTAACCACAATAACTAGTTCGTTATCATAATAACTATCACTAACTACAACTAACTGTCTTACAAATGTATAATGTCTATTCATAACTATCAACTAGTTAATTAACTATTCATTTAGTAACAATTATTCCCATGTCTTGTCTCGACATTAGAGTTTTTGATGGCGATGGAAGTTGAAGATCTCTACCCAAGACATGACGATAACCCAGACCTCTCAGCCTGAAATCTCAGTCTGTCGTGTTCTGGTTGGTTCCACATCAGCTGTAAAGAAAATAAAGTGTGTTTTTTGTATTATGTGTACCATAAAATGATAGCAATTTCCATTCCACAATGTCATTTAAACATTAAAAAGTTGATAATAAAAATAACTGTTTCCGTTTACTGCTGACCTGGTGGGATCGTCTGATACTGCAGTGAAGTACAGTATGAACCCATGTTGAGTATCAAACTAGTGTAGTGGAGGGTGTACCAGGTATTCTCCAGTGGTGTAGTGGAGGGTATACCAGGTATTCTCCAGTGGTGTAGTGGAGGGTGTACCAGGTATTCTCCCAGTGGTGTAGTGGAGGGTAATACCAGGTATTCTCCAGTTGGTGTTGTGGAGGGTATACCAGGTATTCTCCAGTGGTGTAGTGGAGGGTATACCAGGTATTCTCCAGTGGTGTAGTGGAGGGTATACCAGGTATTCTCCAGTGGTGTAGTGGAGGGTGTACCAGGTATTCTCCAGTGGTGTAGTGGAGGGTATACCAGGTATTCTCCAGTGGTGTAGTGGAGGGTATACCAGGTATTCTCCAGTGGTGTAGTGGAGGGTATACCAGGTTTCTCCGGGGTAGTGGGTGGTATACCAGGTATTCTCCAGTGGAGTAGTGGAGGTATACCAGGTGATTCTCCAGATGTCGTCCAGTGGTGTAGTGGAGGGTGTACCAGGTATTCTCCAGTGGTGTAGTGGAGGGTGGTACCCAGGTATTCTCCAGTGGTGTAGTGGAGGGTGATACCAGGTATTCTCCAGGGGTGTAGTGGAGGGTATACCAGGTTCCAGTGGTGTAGTGGTGGTTTTACCAGGTATTTCCAGTGGGTGTGGAGGGTGACCAGGTATTCTCCAGTGGTGTAGTGGAGGGTTACCAGGTATTCTCCAGTGGTGTAGTGGAGGGTTACCAGGTATTCCCAGTGGTGTAGTGGGGGGGGTACCAGGTATTCTCCAGTGGTGTAGTGGAGGGTATACCAGGTATTCTCCAGTGGTGTAGTGGAGGGGGATACCAGGTATTCTCCAGTGGTGTGTGGAGGGTATACCAGGTTCTCCAGTGGTGTAGTGGAGGGTATACCAGGGATTCTCCAGTGGTGTAGTGGAGGGTATACCAGGTATTCTCCAGTGGTGTAGTGGGGTATACCAGGGATCTCCAGTGGTGTAGTGGGGGGGTTACCAGGTATTCCCCCAGTGGTGTAAGTGGAGGGTATACCAGGTATTCTCCAGTGGTGTAGTGGGGTATACCAGGTATTCTCCAGTGGGTATGGGAGGGTTACCAGGTATATCCCATTGGTGTAGTGGAGGGTTACCCAGGTATTCTCCAGTGGTGTAGTGGAGGGATACCAGGTATTCTCCAGTGGTGTAGGGAGGGTTACCAGGTATTCTCCAGGTGGTGTAGGGAGGGTTACCAGGTATTCTCCAGTGGTTAGTGGAGGGTATATAAACCCGGGATTCTCCAGTGGTGTAGTGGAGGGTATACCAAGGGATTCTCCAGTGGTGTAGTGGAGGGTATACCCGGTATACTTTCCCGTGGTGTATGGAGGGTATACCAGGTATTCTCCAGTGGTGTAGTGGAGGGTTTCCAGTATTCTCCAGTGGTGTAGTGGAGGGTTACAGGTATTCTCCAGTGGTGTAGTGGAGGGTATACCAGGTATTCTCCAGTGGTGTAGTGGAGGGTTACCAGGTATTCTCCAGTGGTGGGAGTGGAGGGTATACCAGGTATTCTCCAGTGGTGTAGTGGAGGGTATACCAGGTATTCTCCAGTGGTGTAGTGGAGGGTTTTCCAGGTATTCTCCAGTGGTGTAGTGGAGGGTATACCATATTTTCCATGGTGTGTTTGGGGGTTACCAGGTATTCTCCAAATGGTGTAAAGGGGGGGTACCAGGTATTCTCCCGGGGGATATCCATGTATTTCTCCCTGGTGTATAGGTTACCATTTTTCCCAGGTGCGTATCCAACTCGTGTGTAGTGGAGTGGGTCAGCGTATCCAATTAAGAAGTGGATGGAACAGGATTTTAGTGTTTAGTAGGGGAATGTTGTGATAAACATTTTTTTTCCAGGGGAGGGAGGTGAAGGCGAAGGCTCCAGGGTTACTGTTTGAGGGGAACCCGGTTTTTCCAAAAAGGGGATGGAATCAAGGTTTTCCCTGGAAAGTGGAAATTACCCGGTTTAGTGTTTAGTGGAGGGGTAAAATTTTAAGATGACCAATATTCCCGGGTTTTTATGGGGGTGACCGGATTTTCCTTTGGTGTAAAAAAAAGGGTTGAAAGGAAACCCCAATAGAACCCGGAAACCCATTTGAGGGGGGGTTTACAGAAGTTTGCCATTCCAGGTTTCTCCGTTGGGATTTGGGGGTGGTACCCGGCGTATCATTTGAGTATTTTCCAGGTTTCCCAATGGGTAGAAAATAATACAAATTTCCCATGGGTTTTTGCAGGGTTTGGGAATTTCGGGGTAATTAGGGTTAACCATTTTCCAGGGATGGATTAACCCCCAATTCCCTTTCTGGTTTTTAATACAAGATTCCATGGTAATTTACTTTTTCTAGTTGTGGAGGTACAGTTCCCGGTTATGGGGACGTGAGATTTCATGTGGTATGGGGGTAACCGTTTTCTATGGGTAGTGGAGGGTTCCAAAATTCTCCAAAAAAGGGGTTTTAGTGCTACCAAAATAGGTTGTATGAGAATACCCTATTCCTTTCCCGTGGGTTGGGGGTTTTGGATTTGTGTTTGTTTTTTCCCAAGTTATACCATACCACCCCCTGAAGGGGTCTTTTTACCCATACCCTGGGAAGGATTTTACCATACGCCATGGGAAGGGGTTATACCCCTATACCATGGAAGGGGTTTTACCATACCCCTGGAGGGGGTTACCCAACTCCAGGGGGGGATACCCATCACCCTCCAGATCTTCCCATAACCATGGACATTTTACCCCGACACCACTGGCGATTTCTATCCCCCAAAACCGATCTATACCATACCCATTGTTGAGGGGTTTTACCCCCAACCATGGATTATACCCAACTAGAAACCTGGCAGTTATAATACCAGTTTTCCCATCCAAGTGAAAAGGTTATACCCCTACCCACTGGAAGGGGTTATACCAACTCAGATGGGGTACCCATAACCATGGGAAGTTATACCAGGACCCCTGGGAATAGTATACCCACGGACCCATGGATGATTATACCCAGGACCCATGGGTTTTAGTTCCACTCAAATGGAGGGGGTATACCCCCTACCCATGGGAGGGGGGTTTTACCATACACAGTTATATACCATACCCATGGGTATGAGGTTATACCATTATCTATGGGGTTCGGGTATACCCATACCCATGGGATAGGTATTACTCCATTTATGAGGTTATACCCTCCATTATGGAAGTTATACCCAACTACCAGGGGGTTATACCAAGACCCATGGGAAATATTTCCATACCCGGGGTAACATGGTAATAATATAAGTAAGGTCAGGTTCAAACCAGCGGGCTATTGGTCAAAAAAAACACTTGGAACCTAAACTATAAAAAAGGTTGCAAATGAAGGCTAGACCCACGGAAGAACTTCCCAACAAAAAGTACACACACCCTGCCTACCTCAATACATATTCACAATCCAGGGCATGGCAGTTTTTATTTCAAAGATCATACCCTACAACTGACAGATCTATACCCATACACAGGCATCTATACCCAACACATGGACAGATCTATCCACAATGAAAGTCTATACCCACTACACATGGATCTATACCACTACATCTATACCACTACACGATCTATACCACGTACACCACGGGACAGATCTATACCACCACATGAAGACTATACCCACTACACACTGACATATCATACCACTACAAGGATCTTACCACCATGACAATCATACCCCATATACATACACTGATCTATACCCCACACACTGGACATGATCATACCCACTAACAGATCGAACCCATAACACTGGACAGATCTATACCCCAACTCTTACCCACTAACAGAATCTATACCCACTACACCACTGACAGACATACCCCTACACAGAATCTATACCCACTACACCACTGGAGATCTATACCCACTACAAGATCTATACCCACTACACCACTGGACAGATCTATACCCACTACACAGGATCTATACCAACTACACAGATCTATACCCACTACACCACTGGACAGATCTATACCCACAACAACAGATCTATACCCACTACCCACTGGACAGATCTATACCCCCCTACACCACTGACAGATCTATACCCACTACACAGATCTATACCCACTACAAACGACAGATCTATACCCACATACACACCACTGGACAGATCTATACCCACTACACCACTGGACAATCTATACCCACTACACCACTGGACAGTATCTATACCCACTACCAGATCTATACCCACGACACCACACAGATCTATACCCACTACACCACTGGACAGATCTATACCCACTACACAGATCTATACCCACTACAACACTGGACAGATCTATACCCACTACACAGATCTATACCCACTACACAGATCTATACCCACTACACCACTGGACAGATCTATACCCACTACACAGATCTATACCCACTACACAGATCTATACCCACTATACAACAACTAACAGATCTATACCCACTACACCACTGGACAGATCTATACCCACTACACCATGGACAGATCTATACCACTACACAGATCTATACCCACA